TTAAAATTTAAGAATAGATTTAATACAGAATTTAAAAGTCAAGTAGCTAGATTGATGATATTTTAAGCATAAAAATATGCAACTTTATATCCGCTGGAAGTAGTTTTTTTTTTTATTATTATTAATCTTTCACTGCTATTTGATAATTACATTGGATAATTGAGGACTTAATTGAAAATTAAACCCCATCAAGCCTACATTTATATTTTTATTTATAAAATTTAAATATCAAATTTTATTTAAAGAAAATCGAATTCTTTTCATTTAGAGCAACATTCTTGAACCAACAATATTGGTTTGGGAAGAAGCAGCTTCACGAGCCTATAAATGCCGATTAAAGCACTCTTGAGGTATGCGACATGCAAACCGAACTGCACAAGCCCATAGATGCTGACTGGAATGAACGCAGCGGCGAAGGTCAGAGACGTAGTCCATGCCGACTCCAAACGAAAGGTGAGGAGAGTTGCAGCTGTGAAGGAAAACAGAGTGGTTGCAATGGCAAAGGACAGAAAGAGGAAGCCAGCCGACAGTTTCGAGGGTATTTGATAGTAAAATTCTTCCAGATCAAGTGATGATGTGAGCACTGAAAGGAAGAGCACCACCGACGTTAATGAGCTTGCCAGTCCGGCCACGTCCATCACAGTGAAAAAAGAGTACAGAGGCTGGTCCGCAAGGACTGCCGTTCCGGCATGTACATCGACCGCTGGGGCAGGTGCATTTGGCGCTGGGGCAGGTGCATTTGCCGCTGCGTCTTTTGCGTCGCCATATCCTTAAAACAAATCAAAGAAAAAAAAAATTTTGATATGGCAACTTGTTAATGACAAATTAGATCTTTTTTTTCTTTTGTGAGTAGAAGAAAAAAAGTTTAGTTAATTACCTATGAAACCACCTGGGACGGCGAAGGCGGCAGCGAAGAGAACCGAGGCGACTAGGATAGCCACGGTGGAGCATGACTGAGAAGTGTTCTTGACCCATTCTTGGGCCTCTTTCAGTTGTTCCTTGTGCTCGTCTTTTAACAGTTGCTCTGCCGTACGACCCTTCTTGTTGGTGAGGATTGTGTAATGAGCAGGAACCATCTTTTCCACCTTCTGCGAAATCACAAGAAGAACTCACAATTCTTGAATAAATATTTAATTCAATTGTTAAAAGTTTGTTTGATTTAAAGGAACTGAAGTAATATTATTTCCACTAATCAATTTTTTTAAAATAATTTTGTTTAGTAGATTGATAAATTTTTATTAGCATCATAGAAGATTAAATTACTAGTTTCAAGCCCAAATGAGAGTTTTTTAATTAATGGTTTCTACTTTACTCAAGCTCATAGTAAATTCTTTTTAAATAATTGAAATAGTCTTTCCTTCTCCCTCTCAACTCCTCCACTTCTGTTAAATTCTCTATAAAACCAAATAGACTCTAAAAACCAAACAGACCCTAAATGTTAGTTAATGAATTTAGAGCAACAATTGATCAAGGCTTACTCTGAACCATCTCAGCTCCTCTTGCAGTTTCAGAGCCGCTGTCGATGCGGTCCCTCCGCTATAGTATTTTGTAGAGGCGGCTTTGTGCAGAATGGTGTCACCGTCATTGTCGATCCCCAAAATCAGCCTCCGCTTTACCACTTCCCTCTCCAAATTGATGAGATCAAGGATGTGGTCGTTACGGTGTAGAATGGCAACGTGCAGAATATTCTGTCCACTCCTGGTAACATGCTCCAGTGCTTGAGGATACACGTTGATAATCTCGGCCACAATCTCCCTGATCCCTGTCCTGGCGGCAATAATCAATGGAGTATCCTCAATGGTGGCGGCGGTGCCATCACATCCGGTTTGTGACGACGCCTCCCCTGTTTCTTTACCTCCCTTTTTACGGTCTCCTGAAAAGCAAATAATAATGTTGTGCCCTTCTTCGTCGTAGTGCTCACGCCAAGTGGAAGAATCCATTTTTACCAGAATCTTGGCGGTGGTGCCAACACATATGGCTTGGGACGACAGTTCCCCTGTTTCTTCGTCTCCTGAAATGCAAACAATGTTGTTGTGCCCTACTTCGTTGTAGTGCTCACGCCACGAGCAAGAATCCATCTTTACCAGCATCTTGGCCAAGTCAACTGCAAATCGATGCTTCTTTTTTGTTTTCCCAATTTCCTTAATAAAATTCCATCCTGAAAAGAAATAAAATCTAATTAGAAATTCATAGTTAATTATTTTAACTAATTAATCAAATTATTTTTGTTAACACAATGATTAGTCGAAATAGAGTGACCTTCCGTCTCCCTCCTTTTTTCACAATCCAAATAAGCAATTAAGAAAAATAGGGAAATTATTAGGGTGCGTACTTTCAGCTAGATGCGTCCAAAGATCATGGTACTTGGGTAGACCTGCATTAAGCAAAATTTTGCAATTTCAATTATAGTTGCAACTCACTTTACTAGAAGCATAAATGCTCGAAATTAATACAAACTCATTGTTAGACAGCGTATCCTACTCTTACTGCTCTGACTTGGTACATCCTGTTCAATTTCATCTCTATAGACTAAGTTGTCTGGAATAACTGAAAACCAAAACGCCAAATTGAGTCAGAAGTACTACAATTAATGTGTTTTTTAAGCGGTGTGATTGTAGTTTGCAATAAACTTACGTCTATATATAATCTCCAATCCATAAATTATGGAAGAAGAACTTTCGAAAGCAGTCCGCATGCTAGCGAGAATGTGAAGACATGTCTTCCCAGAACATTTCTTTGTCGCCAGTTCTCGATCTTTGCCTAGTAACCAAATAGCTGTCTCTGCATTTAATAGACAATTCTCATGCATTTCTCAAATGAAAAGAAAAAATGTGTTTTGTAGTTGAAATTGCCTGAACTATTAAACTACATCTCTTGCTCAATGGGGTCCCTTGGGTTCCAGGACTCGAACCCAGCTAATTGTTCTTCGGATTGCAAATGACCAATCTCTTTCCTAAGTCAGTGATTTAACTTAAAATTAAATCGGATGAGCAGTACGTACCGAATTTTTCATTCATGATAGCAATATGAAGAATGGAGAGGCCATCAGTTCTTGTGAAGTGATCTTTAACATTTCCCTTTTGACGTTCCACCTCGTCTACTAAGTACTTCACTGTTGCTTTATTTCCAAATGCCGCAGCCCTGTACAACGCCGTCTCCCCTAAATTATTGCGGCCCATCAGCTTCCCCGCTCTTTCTTCATAAGCAATCTTATCAACCAAGAATTGTACTGCCTTAACATTGTTGCTCATGACAACCTCGTGGAGAAGGGTGTTACCATGACTGTTCTTCATCGTGAACACACATTCTCTAGGCGTTGTAATCTTTTCAAAGAGATCTCGAAGCAGATTTATGCTTCCCATGTATGCTGCAATGTGGAAAACAGTATCTTCGCAAGGAGTGAGGGGATCGAATAAAGCACAATGTTTGGTCTGACACAGTGTTTTAATGTTTTCCCGCTCATTTTCGAAGGCCTTTACATAAAGCCCCTTCATTTCATAAAGCTCCTTCATTTCACAAAGCACCGTCATTTCCGTCATTTCCTCAACACGTTCATCTATAGCCACAGCTACTTCTGTTGTCATCTCTCCTCCTCTTTTTTCAATCTGCTAATTTGATAAATAGTTTTTTCTTAAGCTGCTTTAATTTGATGTCGATTCCCGGTTTTATGGTCTGCAACAGCTTGAAAAAGTAGTGAAAAATAATAGCATCTCAACTTTGCTGAACTAATTAATAAACTTAAAAGTTGAAAAGTTTGAAAATAAGATTATGGTAAAGAAAAAGGAAGGAATAACAAAGTTACTAGTTCTGCTAATTGCTAGAGGAAAGAAATACTTCTGTCGCTGAATCTAAATCCAAGCCAATAAGAAAAAGACACGTTAGAAACGTTTGAATTTCATGTTGAAGGGCCATGCTAAGATGTCATTTGAGATTTGCTGATACCTCAACATAAGTTGCATAAGTTTTAAAAAAAAAAAATTTTTTTCTAATGAGATATCCCTATAATACAATAAAATTTCTCTCCATACTAAGAACAAAACGTAGTTCAATCAATCTATAAAATTAATTTTTAGTTGTTTTAGTTAAAGATTCATGTTGAAGTATCATTTGAACTATAATAATACCTCAACATGAGATGTAGAAGTTTCTAGGGTGAAGTAGTCAACAATGCAATATATTTGATTAATTGGTTGCCCTCAATTCCTTTGAACTTTGACATCCTGGAGAAAATCTACACAAGATGAGATGTTGGATCTCTTATTTAAGCGTTTAGGTGCAAAGCATTTATGCATGTCCAAAGGAATAGAGATCAAAGTTGGATGATAAAGTCATTCCACGTATTTTTGTTGAATATGGTGATAAAGAGTTTAGTTACAAATTATGGGACTAGGAATAGATGAAGACTGTTAGAAGTAGAGATATCGTGTTTCAGAAACATGAGGAAATCCAGGATTAGAGGGAGGAAAAAGCCACTAGAAGCACTTGAGAGGGTGTAGCCAATCTAAACCCAACAAAACTTCTTTAAGAGGTATTATAGATGAAGTAGATGAGCAAGGACCAAAAGACGATATAGATGAGCCAATCATCATCATCGAAGAAGAAAAACAAGTGCGGATAGAGGAAGTCACCGGCGGAGACAAGTGGGGCTTGGGGGGGCACAGGCCCCCCTAAACTTTTAAAAAATAGAAACTTTGGTCCTTTAAGTTATATTTTTATTATTTCAATCCTTGTTTATTCTATACATTTCAATTATTTTTAACCCTTGTTTCTTCAAAGATTAGTTTTAGTGATTATAAAAATGAGGAAAATAAAGATAAAATAAAATATGATAAAAAATAAAGATTAATTGAATATAAAGTTGTTCCATATTATCTTTTTATAAAATATATAGTTGTTTATTACTACCTTTTTTTTTTGTTCATTACTACCCTTCTACTTTTGTTTTTTTTTTTGTTTGTTAGTATTTCTCTATTTAATGTACGTATATTTTATCTTTCACTTGATGTCATATATATAATATCATATTGTCAATTAATATTAGTTTATCAATAAAAACTAACAAATCTTAATTTAAAATAATTTTTTATTAAAAATTTTGCTTTTCGTTGACCTTTTAATTAATGTAAAGATGCATGTCTTTTTCTTTAGAAAAAAAAATTTCATTTGGCTCTCCCTAAAAAACTTTTTTGGCTATGCTACTGGAGGAAGTGATAAGCAAGGGGAGCAATCCTTGTCACAAGGGGAAAGACCTCAGTTGAGAAGGTCTATGAGATAGCATAAATCATCTAAAAGATGCCCTAATTTTGATTATATTTGAATTATCGAAGAGGAGGAGTCGGAGAGTTTCTAAGTGGTACAGTTTCATAAAGACAAAGACTACTAAATGAAGGCTATGTACGAAGAACAAGAAAAGATTGAGTTGGTGTTGGTTGGGCATCAAATGGATCTTAGGATGTCAGGGCATCGGAGTTTGGTAGAATCTTGGTACCAATTGTAGGCGCTGGTGGCCTCTACTGGTGGTGGCTAAGGATGGTTAATGGTGCCATGGTGGCAATCGCAATGAGGATGGTCCAGGCCTTCTGGTGGGGACTTTGTGACAATGGGATGTGGGAATGGTGGGGTTATGTTTGGAAACCAAGATGGGGGCAAGACACGTGTGGCATGATTGCATCATCAAAGGAGGTAGGGCTGTGGGCTATTTAGTCTTAGGTCCTTCGCCAGACAAGGATAGGAAACCATGTGAGTTTCGGCATGAGGTTAATAATTCTCTCAGGTTAAGGTCACTAAGGTTTGCACTATTAGGATTTTTGTGTTCAACTTTGATTTTGCTAGTCAGGGTTAGAAGACTCCACGAGTGTGGGCCTTTACATCAACTCCCCCTTGCGCAAGTACTCGGTTTTTGGGATGAAAATTTTACCCTCATCTGATGTGTACTTAACATTTTTACCTGTTATGGGTAAGGGATTTTTACCCATGGGCCGAGTAAAGGTAAAACAATTTTATCCAATAACTTTTGGTCAAAGGTATGACAGTAAGACACCCTGACCTTACACAGCCTATTTACACAATTATTCAATAAAATATTAAAATATTATTTCTAAAATTTTAAATTAATTAATAATACCTAAATTCTTTAATTCATTTATTTCAATTTAAGATTCTAAGACTCTATATTTCCCAGTTACTAATTTTTTTGACGGAATATTCCTTAATTATTTTAATTAAATTCTAACTTAAATTTAAATTAATTTATTTTAAAAGATAAACTTCTTAGAGCTAAATTAATTTAAACTTGAAAATTAAAAGCCTAATTTCTTAATTTATTTTCCCTTTCTTCCTCTAAAAGAAAATTAGTAACTTTCACAAAGTAATTGTGGTAAGATAAAAATTAAACACACAATCCCTTAAACTTTTTTACCTGATTAAATAACTAAATGAGAAATTAACTTGAGTTGGACTTTTTCTTAGAAAAACAA